CGCCGGGGGAGGGGCAGGGGGGCGGTCGGGTGAATCCGTATTGGCAATCACCCCCACCCCTCTGTCCTTTGTGGTGTGTGAGCGCAATGCCCCGCGGCTCTTGCGCGCCCATAGCATTAAGCAGCGTGCGTGAGTGTGTGAGTGTAGAGCTGCAGGGCTGAATAACAACACGACCGAATGGGCCGCGGATGAATGAGATTCCCCGCCGCATTGTCCCTGCACTACACTATCAGCCCCGCTCTGACCTTAAAATCTGCAGCGAGGAGCGGCGCCCTTCACTTCACTATACGTGTCTGCGCTCTTCACTGTCAGCCTGCCCTCTTCACTGGCAGCCTGCCCTCTTCACTGGCAGCCTGCCCTCTTCACTGGCAGCCTGCCCTCTTCACTGGCAGCCTGCACTCTTCCCCTATCAGCCTTCGCTCTTCACTTCCAGCCGTCACGCTTCACTATCAGTCTGCACTCTTCACTACCAGCCTGCAGTCTTCCCCTATCAGCCTCCGCTCTTCACTACCAGCCTGCACTCTTCACTAACAGCCTGCACTCTTCACTATCAGCCCTCCCGGGACTTGGCGAGCTTTCTTCGCCGTGATGCAATGATCCTTCTGCTCACGGGCCGGCATCCTCGGGCCGATGATAAAGGGCGTGACGCCGCGGTGACTGCGTGAGACAGCTGGCGGGGCGGGGCGGGGCGTGGTGGGCCGAGGCGGGCGGGGCGGTAGCCAGCCGGATAGGGCATACTTCATCGGCAAGGACCATTGCCGCTTCCGCCCGCCCCGTCATCTGCCCGGTTATTATCGTCATCATAGGGAAAAGAACAATGTAATCAAAATGTCCGCCCATGGTACCCCATGGTACCCCCATCCCATGGTGCCCCGTAACGCGTAGAGGGCACGGCGAGCACCATCGGTCTCCCCATGAGCCCCTCTCCGCCAGGTCCCTGTGCGTGCGCGTCACGGACGAACACGGACAGGACAGGGCCAACGGCCTCTCTCTTTCTCTGCTCACCTTTTTTTTAAAAGCAACATTTTGGTACCCGTTTTTTAAAATCTTTTTCTTGCCTCTCTTGGAAACAACCAAACAACACAGTGTCCTTATTTTTGTTCCTTTCATTTCTTGTCGTAAACTTATTCAGCTGTTATAAAAGGTTTGTTGTCGGACGGGGTTTTCGATGGCTAAAATACACGCGTCGTGATGACCTCAGCTTTTGTGTTCACGCGATCGAGCAGCAGCAGCAGCAGTGCGCGGCGGGGCTCGTTGACGAACCAGGAAATGGCGGAGGCATGCGTTCTAATCACTGCGTGTGCCGGACCCGACCCGACCAGGCCCGGACCACACGAGGGGACGATGCGTCATTATCCAACCGTAAAATAAAATAAAACGGAAAGAAAACTACGTTTGGTCGCAGACAGCTCATTTTGATACCCAGTACTACCTCTTTTGATAGTCTGAAGGAAAACTGCGAGTTGTATAATTGGCGTGGAATCGTTTCAGTCTCGCCGTCCACTCTACTCCTCCGATCCCCCGCTGGAGCTGGAGCTGGGAACAGGAACCAGACCAGTGGACTGGCGGGGCGGGCCTTCTCATAATCATCGCGCCTAAAATAGCCTCGCAGCCGGCCACGAACGCGCCACCGCGCCGCGCCACGCCGCTGCTGCCCGGCGCGGCCCTTTCGACGCCAATCTGTATGAATGCCTCGGCCGCTGTCGCCGTCGCGTCCCGGCGCTGCGCTGCACTTTACCAGTCCACGTACTCAGCTTTTGCCGAATAACTGAATGCTCGGCACGACACTCGCGTCTCTCTGCTCCGCCAGCTTTCGCCCGCGCTCTCCGGCCGGACCGCTCTCGCCCGTGTGTGAGGGGGATGGGGATAACGTCGCGCGGATCAACTTGATGTTATGCACGATGGCGACACAAAATCTGGTTTACTTTTTTCATGCCCAACCTTCCGCCTAACTTTCCTTCCTCTGAAACGGGTTGCCCGCATCGGTTTCCGTCCGCACAAAAATATGCAGTCTTCGCAAACACCGAGATCGAGGCCTGGCACTCTCTTTTATTTTCTTCTCGCAGTGTGTCTTATTTTTAGTCACACTCTTCTGTCAGTCTGAGTCACAGAACTCTCTGTCAGTCTGAATCACAGTTGTTGATCTCTACCTCGGTCCCTACTCGGGAAACAAGCCTCGCTGCTCCGTCACTTTCATTCATCGGCGGAGCACCGTGGATCGTCCTTGAAAGTACGCCCGTCGTTATTCTCAGTTTCTTCAGGCAAATTATTTACGGAGGGAGCTCGGCGCCTGCGAGACTCGGGGTAGGCCACCCCGCACCACACGCATGCGCTGCAGGCGTGATGTTTGCCTACCTATCAGGCGTTATGATGAGAGCTTGTAGTAGGCTGAACTTGGAAGGTTCACAGAGGTGAATGAAGGGCGTACATTCTGAATGATCCCAAGGCTGGCAGGGGGTGCGCGGCGGCCGCGGCGGCCGCGGCGGCTGGGCGCACAGGCGCAGGTCCGGTCGATAGCGCACCTCGTAGCAGCGCCCAGTGCCACCAACCAGAGCACCGCGCACTCAAACTAACTCGAAGCGTATTCTCGAGTTTCTTACAAGAATAGCTTTCTGCTACAACATCGTTCGTGATTTATTTAAAACAGAACAAAACGCCAATCGTGTTTAGGAGGGTGGCGTGGGTTGGCACATCTGGCCCAGATAGCACCACCACGGGGCTTGCAAGTAGAAACAAAAATGCCCCCTTCGAGTCCGTCTCATTTCTGCTGACCCCCGGAGGGAGGCTGGGCCGGTCGGGCTGCAAGAGGAATAATGGGTTTTGCAACAACGATAACGACAGGAGCAGCAGCAACAACAACAACAACGCAGACGCCTCTCGCTCGCCCGCATCTTGCTGTGAAATGGTGGTTATGAAAATGACGCTGTATCGGCGGCGCTCGATGTTGTGCCGGGTGGGGCCGGCGGGTCGGCCCGCCGGGCGTGCAGTAGGCACGAGTGTGCCGCAACACCGGCGGCCATGTGAGAGAGTGTGCGATAGCGCCGGCCCTTGAAACCGTGTCGTCGTCGTTGCAGGTCGCCTCGCCTCGCCTCGGGGGAGGGGTGGGGAGCGAGGTTTCCCAAGTAGCCCCGACGGCAGCACGACGCCTTTTAATTCAAAGGGAACAAACTACTTTATCTTGGCGACTGCTTTGGCTCTCTGCCTGACTTTTCTTCGACTCCCCCCCCCTCTCTCTCTCTTTCTCGGTGCAGACAGCAACAGGTCTTGGCCAGGAAGCGGCCGAGTAGCAGAGAAAGGCGCCCCGGCGAGACTGCCGGCCAAGGGGGGGTCCTCGGAGTGCAAGTGATACTGCATCACCATCACCGAGAGCTCTGCGCCCTCCTGCTCGAGTCCCGCGCTGCCCAGCGTCACTTAGACCCCCGCGTCCGTCGTGACGGGACAATCAGAGCGACGACGAAGACTGTTCTACCTGAGTCGTTACGACAGCAAGTTCGTTTTTCGCGCGATCCGCGAAAGTAAAACAGGCTTCGGTCACCTCGAGAGTGTCCGCCGGTGTTGGTCGCCGGCAGGCTGGTCGCGGAGTACATGAGTGCGGCGGTGCAGTGGTCGCGAGAATGCGTGCGAGGACGTCGCCGACGAGAGGAGGGAGTCGGGGTCTGTTTTCTCCGGGAGGACGCGATGCGGGCGGGCCACCGAACTATGGAGCCGTGTCGTCCGCCCGTCGGAGGCGGGGCCTGCCGCTGGGGCTGCTGGCCACTGTCCACTCCACCACCACGCCACCGACCGTGACAGCAGGAAATGAGTGAGCGAGCGAGTGAGAGCGCGAGTGAGAGCGCGAGTGAGTGAGTGAGAGAGAGGAGAGAGGAGTCGGGAGCGAGAGACACATGAGACATGTGCTTGGACACACTACAACGGAGACCGCTCGCGGGCCTCACGAGCGAATCCATACTGTTTTGGAGATGCGAATGAGAAAATGTGACCGCGAAAGTCTCTGCGGTCGCGAGAGAAAGAAATGCGGTGCTATGCTTGTGTACTGCAGTCAGAATGACTTGGAAAGAGGGAGAGAGAGAGATAGAGAGAGACGACGACGACTGCTCCGAGCTATTCGCTCGGCGAATGGGAGCAACAAGAAGTACTGTAAGTGCTTACTCGAGAGTTTTCAAGGGCGCCCGGCC